GGAATAGAGTTTAAAAACTTACAAATTGTGGTTTGATTGTTTTTCTTTAATAAGTAAGGAAATAATCTAGAGGTGCTGAGACATACACAAGTCACAACACGAATGGCTACATTATAAGCCGCTGTCATTTCTTCCACTTCCCTAGGCTGACTTTGGTTTATCACATATATACTCTGTTAAGTTCAGAAAAGAGCAATTGGGAATTGAGTTCATGTTGAGAAGCTGGTATTTATGGAGCACTTCTTACGTTCTCAATAGCATTTTAGACACAGGTTATAGACTAAGATAAAAGGTGTAGTTGCTGTTAGCAGATATCTTCAGGCTTCTTTGTTTCATTAGAATATTTTATGTTCCAAGCACAGGATGAATCTCCTTTATCCCAAGTACTTGGGACCAGTAGTATTTTGACTTTGAGATGCTTTTAGAGTTTGAGGTATTTGCATACACATAAGATATCTGGGGGATGGGACCCAGGAGTAAACAGATGTATATTTGAAAACAGCTTCAGATTTGGCATTAGGTTAATGCACAGTTTATATATTTTGGTTTAAAGTTACACATTTTAAAAATAATGTATAAAACTAGCCAATAAATTTTAGAAAGCTTAAAACACATGAAAACCTCTTACTAAGAGTTCCATTATTAGGTAGCATAATAATTTGAAGTGAAATGATACAGTGGAAAGTACACTGAATTTGCTGTTAAAAAATATGGGTTTTATTTATTAGCTGACTGGTCATAGGTGAGTTGTTTGTCTAAATTTATTTTCTCTTGCTTACCTAACAGTTGAATGATTTATTATAGCTACTGTACTTAGTAGAATACCTAACATTGACATTGCAAATGGTAGTTTTCTTCTGCTCCGTCACCCTGCCCCCCTATATTGTTAAGTCCATTTCATTCTGTTTCTCCTTTATATAAGTAAAGGGTTGTAACTTCCTGTTATTCTCACACAAAATTTTCCTGTTTGTAAAGCTACATATATGCATTTATATGTATAGATAAAAATAATAATATATGTAAATACGATTTCTGGCTTTTGTACATATAAGGAAGTCACTCAGAGTCCTTAATTAAGTTTTTCTTTTCAATGACAACTTAAGTATCCCCACATGTATTCATATATATGATACAGTGCACAGATTTCAGAGCTTTTAGGAGTCATGTTTTTATTTTTTCCTCCTGTTTGGAAACACTTCATCAAAAATTAAAAGAAAATCTCATTGCTAGTACTGGTTAATTATACATTTCACATGATCCAAATTTTCTAAATATTTCAAATATTTCTGAGAAATAAAATTATTTTTACATTAGTTTGGAAATACTAGATGGAAAATTTAATATTAAGATAGCTTCTACATTGAAAAAACTCAGCTGATGAGGTCCCTTTACAGTATTTTATCTCTTGATTGTTGTATTTCTCCCAGAAAGAATTTGTGGTGGGGTTTTTCTAGTAAAATTCCTTCTGAATAGTAGACACTACAAAAGTGATCTTGCATATAAACTAGGAGTAAAAAAGAGTTTCTGATATTAGTTTTCTTATAGACTATCACATAAGACATTTGATTTATATATACTGTATATATATGAGATATTTTAAAGGTTTTATTGAGTCAGATTTTCACTGTGATATTTAAAAGCTTTTTAGCATATTTTAATTTTATGATTTATTAAGATTAAAATTTACTCCTTTGTTGTAATTACTGTCATACCCTGAAGAGTAGCACTTTATTACAAGGTAATTTAATTTTAGTTACAAGTGTATTATGAGATGTTACTGTATTGATTATAATTGTGGCCTCTTAAAGTGGGAAGCAGTGCTTTGAGAAACCATCTTGGTACTGTTTAGTGAGAAGTAAAGTAAGGCTTCTTTAAGCTTAATGCATATTGAACATAATACTAGTATTTTTCCTTCTGAAAGACAAAGGAATAAATCTAAAGTCTAATATATATCTTACGTATGTTTAGATAATCTGCATTAGCTATGCTAAGCATTGAAATGCTTCTATACTTTCTAGAACTGTTCCTTTTTCTTGCTTTGTAAAATAATTTTTTTTGGTTTAGTCTTTTTTCTAGACATTCCTATCCTTGACTTTTCTTTCCAGATTTTGTTTCCTAGCCTGTTTCCATGTTTTCCTTCTTACGTGTCAGGAAATTATCCTACCCTTCTCCATTTTGGTAAGACAACAATTTATAAAAGAAGTCAAAATAGTATATTCAGTATAAATAGGTGGTGCACACTGATTTTTTTTTTGTAATTTTATGAAAGATGTACATGTTTGTCTGTCTATTTGTTCTAACCCTTTTGGTTTTCCATTTTAAAAGGAAATGAAGTTTAACTAACTACACTTTAAAATATTCTGTTGATAAAAGATTTTTATTTTTTAAATTGGCAACTTAAAAAAGAGATTCTTTTCTCCCAAAATTGAATATTTCACTCAGGTTAAAAAAAACTCCAATGTCTTCCTAGTATAGACAGAAGTGTAAGTGCCTGGTGAGGTGACAGATGTCATTGCAAGACGTAAGTGATTGTCATGCCTCCTAATGCACGTGTATCGTGTGAACCTGTTGTTACCATGCTCAGTTACATTGAGACGCATTTAGAGCTGTCCTGAGTTCAAAATGTGCACTGTCCATTTTAGTAACCTCATGGTTTAAATGGAGAACCTGAGAGAGTTTTAGAATGGTAAAATTTTGTCGTGGTGTCGTGGTCCTGAACTGGACATATGGAAGGCATTTACATGAACATTATGTATTTTGTAAATCTACATTTTACTCTTTCAGTTTCATTTCTTATTTTCTTCCACATTTTTCTGTTTGTTTCTTTTTCTTTCTGCAAGTTGCTTTGATATGCATTTGAAAATAATCTCTGTAGGTCAAAATGATGGGTTTTTACTTTTCAAAATATTTTGTAGGTTATCAAGTCACATTTACAATTATAAAAAGCAATTTTTAACCCTTAGAACTAGAAGATTTTTTAATACATCTTTTAAATACTGATTATTTTCAGTATTTAAAAGATATGTACTATATATATTTAAATTTCAGTCTCTTAGCTGGGCATGGTGGCACATACCTGTAATCCAGCACTCGGGAAACAAGCTGGCGGATCCCTGAGAGCTTAATAAGGAGTTCAAGACTAACCTAAGCCACACAGTGAGAGAGTGCCTCCAAAAACCCCCCACCCAAAATCAACTTGCTTTAGATTATATAATGCATTTTCCACTAAAGTCACATTTCTTACTGTGGTTTGTTATATTTTATAATTATAGACAATTATGAAAACACTTAAAAAGTGAACATATCAGAGCATTCTGATGTAGGAATTGAGTGGTTTAATCCAAGAGAGAACACACAAAGTAATCTGTGGGGGAAAAAAATTAATAGTCAACCAATGCTTTCAGTTTGTTATAAAACGTATATTTACAGTGATACCTCTTTCTGCCTTAGCTTTGTGTTCTCCATCTCTTAAACAAAATTCTTTTTTTTGGTACCAGGAGTCTAACTCAGGACCTTGCACTTGCCAGGCAGGCGCTTATGCCACTGAGCTATATATCCCCAGCCCACAAAATTCTTTAAGTTACTTTGAATATGGAATTTGCTGAATAAACTTTGAGAGTATAACGAAGGGTATCTCTGGTAGTAGAGCTGAACCATGTGCCTTTTATCGCTGAGCTACTTCCCCAGCCCTTTTTCAGTTTTGAGATGAGATCTTGCTGAGTTACCCAGGCTTGATTTGAACTTGTGATCTTCCTGCCTCTGCCTCTCAGAATGCTGGGATTACAGGTGTGCAGTACCTTACCCAGTTTATTTAGGTGTTTTTTAAGGAACAGCACACAAAGTTGGGACATCTAAATATCTAAATGTTATATAGCAAAATCGGGGCAAATGGTAATGTGAAGGATGAATCGTGGCCTAGATTAAAAGAAAGATACTTGGAGCCATGTGGGTTGTTTTAGCTGTGGCTAACATTCCTCCTTCATCATGAGGGATGTGGGAAGGTTATATTGACGAGAATTTACTGGCAGGGTTCTCGTGTCATTTGTAAATATCTGAGCTCAGAGTTCAAGAAGCTCCTATAGCAAGCACTTCTGGATCATGTAGCAAAAGGCCATGCCATGTGTATAACCTCACGTATAACCTCCTTGTTAAAGGGTATGAATTCACTAGATTTGTCCTTAAATCTAAATTACTAGGTCTCAGATAAACAAGCCTTTGATGGGAGGGAAGCAAATCAGTGACCCATGTAGCATTTTCCCTGGTAACTGATTTGCCTTTAATTTGTAGCTCTGTCATGATTCCCCCCATGGTAGTGTCTAAGCAGAGGTGCAGGGAAATCTTAACAGTTCATGTCCCAACTGTAACTTGTCTTGCACCCACGAGGACGTATGAAATTGTGTTTTCAGTTTACCTTGAGAATAGAAAGCATCAGTGTGCCAGATGTAGTTGAGTTCTTCACATGTGACTAGTAGTCCACCACTTGAAGTTTAAAACACATTTTACTTGGAAATTTTGGATATGTTGCAATTAATTAGTAGATTAGGTAGATTGTGTTTTTTTAAATAGACAAAAACTTAGTATAGTTTTTTTAAATGCTGCTACAGTTTATAGTACAGAATCATCATTTAGTAAATTTTTGTTGAGGTCTAAATCTCTGTTGGAACTGGGGAGATAGCTAAGTGACACAGCACCTGCCAGGCAAGCGCAAGGTCGTGAGTTCGATTCCTAGTCCCGCCCCCCCCCAAATCTCTTGGAAAAATAACTTCCACAAAAGTCTTGTACTATAAAATGTTTCAGGTGAATAGGAGTTCTTTTTAAAGGGTGAGTATTGTTTTCCAAATGCATATGAAAAGCACAGGTCAATTTGTGTGCCCTTCACAGTAGTGATACTCTTTTAATTTATAGTTTGTTCAAAAGCCAGAAATACTATTTTTTTTTTTTTTGCCTTTTTTTAAGGTACAGTTATCTCTTAGTGCGTAATGTGTATTTCTGTTCTCTAGATGTTGTGAATTTTGATGACATAGCCTCCTCAGAGAACTTGCTACATCTCACTGCAAACAGACCGAAGATGCCTGGGCGAAGGCTGCCTGGCCGCTTCAATGGTGGACATTCTGTGAGTTACACTCACTATGGGAAAGCACAGAAGATCCAGCAAGAGGAGAGGGGAGAGAGGGTTCAGGGCTGCACTTGGGTTAAAAAATCATGAAAACAGCTCTTGCACACATGGCAAATGCTGGCATTTAAGGAGATGCAGGGAAAGAGATACTCACTTCAACACAAGGCCTGGAGTCGAAGCTCACAGAAGCAGAACTAGGGAGTTGGCCTGGGAAGCCAGTGAGCATTGTATCTGAGTAGTAGAGACTCTCCTTAGGAAAGAATGAGAATATTTTTTTCCTCCTGAAATTGTCAGTGTCTTTGTAGTACTTGTCCTGTATCTCAGTCAGTAACTTCTTTTCTTGGTTTCTACTCACTGCCTGGAGTATGGGTCGTGCTTTAATGTTACATTAGCTCCTAATGCCTTATGGTGCTTTTAAGTGACCTAAGTGGAGAACATTTTGTTGTTGTTAGGCATGTTGCGTTTCAGTTTGAAATAATGTAGCATCCTGTTAGCAGTTACGGAATATGAGGAATACCGCTGGTTGAAAACAAAGTGGTAACACTTAACATGCTTTATCATCCAAATGTTTACTACAGTTTCCTTCTTTGGTCTGTTCTTTTTCTTGATTTCTAAAAAATCATTTAGCCAACTCACAGCCCAGAAAAAACCTTGAAGTTACCAAAAGAAGATGATAGTGCCAATCTAAAGCCATCTGAATTCAAAAAGGATACGTGCTACTCTCCAAAGGTAAGATGAATTGCACACTAAGATTTCTATAGTTTTTAGAACTCCTCATGGACATCCCAAAGAAGTAAGATAGTTGGAAATATCTTATTTGGAAATAAGGGAATAAGATAATTCCTACTGAGAAATTTGAGTTCTTAAACTTAAGTCCCACTGCAGATCTGTTTTAGAAGAGCTTATGTTATTTAAATAAGTAATATATTACATGTTTCATAGTTTTGAAGACATGGGTCTCTGTTTTTCCAAAGTTCATTAGCCCACATGATGATTTTAACCACACCCCTCCCAAAGAGGAACCCCACATTTACTTCAGAGTAGCAAGAATAATGGGCTGTCTGATTTGAAGCCAGGGATAGCTTTTTGAGAGGGGTTAATGGCAGTGTGTCTTACTGTAATAAATTGTTTCTAATTTAAACATTCACTGTGTATTTTGATTATCCCTTTTATTCAGGAAGATCATGTTTCCTCCTAAATTATTCTTCAGTTTCATTACAGGACATTTGGCTACTTTTCCAGTTTATCAAATGTGCTCAGTTTGATTCTCTAAGCTATCAACACTTTATTGAAGTTTTACTAAAATGATTTTCTGTTATTTTAGTAAAACATTGAAAAGGGTGCAGGTGTGAATTTCTTCTTAATAGATGCCCCACTAGGCAAACCATCTCTAAGATAAATCTGAGGGAGTTTTTTATTTGTTCCTTTTAAGAATAAAGCCATTGACATTCTTTGCACTAATGATTATAGATTTGTTCTTTGTCTGATGGTTTTTCCTGTTATGAATATCAGACTACTCTTTGAATTTCTAAATTCTCCATTTGTCTTGATGTACAGATTGAGTAACCCTTACCTGAAATACTTGGGATCAGAAGTGTTCCAAATTTCTGGTTGTAGGGGGGGCTTTGAAGTGTATTTGCCTATATACACTGAGGTTATCTTGGGGATGGGACCCAAGACTAGCCACAAAATGCATTTGTTTCATACAGTCCTTCTCCACAGAACTTGAAGGTAATGGTGTACATTGTTTTGTAGTTTGCCTGCATTTTAACTGTGACCCGTTACATGGTGTCAGGCATGGGAGTATATAATTATGGCTTCAAGTTGCTGCTCAAAAAGTTTGGGAGGTTTGAACATTTTTCAGATTAGGGATACTTAATCTTGTATACTGTTTATCTTGTTATAAAATCTTTTGGACTTAAATACAATAAATACAAAGCAAATTAATCAAAAAACTTTATTACATTTTCAGCCCTCTGTGCTCCTTTCTGCACCCCCAAGTGCTTCTCAAGCCAGTGCAGGTACTTTCCTCACTCCCTTAGAAATCAAAGCTAAACTGGAAACAGATGATGGGAAGAAAATTTCTGTGGATGAACTTCGAGCTCAGATCATTGAGTTGGTGTGCATTGTTGAAGCACTGAAGAAGGATCATGGGTACGTAGCCCTGCTTTCTGCAGTGAGAATGGTTTAACACGTGTATAAAAAAATTCCTTCACACTATGCCATAAAGGTCTAATTTGCTGGTCTCTGGTATGAGCAAGTACTTTTGCAGTGAAATTTTCTTTAACATTGAATTTGACAGAAAACTTGTTCCAGTGGCTCAATTGTAGCTGTATGTATATACCTATATATTTATGCTAGAAATGTTTTGGTTTGACAGAGGTATTAATTAGTCTTGAAAATATTAAGAAAACTATATTGTGTTTTAGATTTGGTGTATATCTATACACACAGTCAAACTTAACTACCTCAGGGAGTTTGCTCACTGTCTTTGCTAGGGTTAAGTTAGATATTTATAAATGAATGGGTTGAGGGAGTTATTTCTAAAGCCCTTAACTCTGAAAGTTTTTTGTTACGGGATACAGTGGGACATACCTAATTGAGAGTTAGGGACTTCTTAGAGGTAAAGTACATTTGAAGGGTCCCCTAATGTTGCCCCTCCCCCCTTTTTATATGAAGAAATATAGATTAGGAGAACTAAAGCTGTTATAATTACATACTCTTTAATGACAGAGCTAAAACTCAACCTCATATCTTCTATTCTTTCAGAGCTCTTACTTTCTTTTTCTTTTTTGTTTGTTTGTTTTGTTTTTCTTCTAGTACCAGGAATCGAACTCAGGACCTTGCACTTGCCATGCAGGTGCTGTGCTGCTGAGCTAAATCCCCAGCCCCTCTTTTTCTTTTTTTTTTTTTTTTGAGACAGGGTTTTACTATGTACTTTAGGCTGGTTTTGAGCTCACTGTGTAGTCCATGCTGGCCTTCTATTTGAGGCACTCCTTCTGCCTCTGTCTCCCAAGTTCTGTGATTACAAGCCACTACTGATATACCACTACTCCTGGCTCAGGAGCTTTTTTCTATAATAAGTAGTATTTGAATTTTAAAACTTGACATTTTGATGTCTTCGCATTGTGCTGTAAGAACCCCTTAGGAATACAGATTGGAGAGCAGCTCCTGTGCCTGAACTTTGGGTGAAAGTGCTCCCCTTTCATGGTGCCTTCCTCTCTGAAAGGACGTCTTGGTATATATGTTGCTGAAGCAAGCACAAAAGGATTTCTTGGAATAGGATACAAAATTCACAGCCAGAGGCCATGATGATACCTACCAGCCTAATTTTAACCATTTTTTTTTTTCAATTATCTGTTGGCCTATGATTCTTTATGAAAAGTGTTGAGATTGTCCATATGATATATTCATAGTTTTTAGAATACTTTTACAAATGTGTTTTAGATAGAAATAAAAGAATGTGTCTTGAATAATTACTTACAGTGTACATTATATGTGTTATATTATATATTATCTGTATAATATGTGTATTATAGGTACACAATTTGTCATTTGATACATGTTTTTCTTGAATTCTCCAGTTTATTGTTTTGAATTTTTTCAGAGATTTTACAGTACACGTGTTAGAGGCAATAAGCTCATTCGTCATTAAATATTGATCTCTACCCCTGTACCAGTTGGAGAACTCTCTTGATTCGAGAATTTTGTTGTTTTATACTTATGATACCAGTGTGCTATTTTAAAAATGTTTTTTATTAGTGCCTATTAACTGTACAGAATATAGGCTTTCATTGTATTTTCATACACACATATAACATTTTGATCATATACATCCCCCTGTTACCTTCCGTCATTCCCTTCCTCTTATTGAATAACAGTGTACCTTCTACTTCATTGCCCCTACTTCATGGGAAACATGCAACACTAGTCTTTCTGAGTTTGACTTACTTTGCTTAGTATGATGATCTCCAGTTATGTTTTCCTGAAAATAGCACAGTTTTATTGTTTATGGCCAGATAATACTCCCATGTATATATATGCCTAATTGAAGACCTTGACAATAATCTATACTGTATTTTTAGGAAAGAACTGGAAAAACTGAGAAAAGATTTGGAAGAAGAGAAGGCACTGAGAAGCAATCTAGAGGTAATGCAGTTCTCCCATCATTGAGCTCTTTAGACAGTGTACATTTCCAGCCGTGCAACTGCTTTCGCTATGAGTGTGCTGTCCTCTTTCAGTCAGACACACCCTGCACAGTAGCATTTCATAAATCTCTTGTTGACTTGCTGTCACATTCTGTTGATTCAAAACTTTTTGAACACTTAACTCTCCTAGGCAGTTAGTGAATCATAAAGTACTTGTAAATAAAATAAATATGGCTATTGCCCCTTACGAGTGTTTAGTTCTTCTTTGAGCTGTAGGTGTCTTTTTATCTATAGTTTCAATTTTTTTCTCTCCCCTTTTCCTGTCTTGCCTTCCCTCATAAGCCCTGCCTCCCATTTCTCTCTGAGCAGTGACTTCATCTTCATTCTCTCTGATGACTGTTAATTTCATTTAGTTCCTTTATATACCTTAACTTTATTTTTCTCTACATTCATTTTTGTCTCCATTTGTGCTCTTCCTTGTATAGCAGAAAGTTGAATCCTGCCTCTTTCAGAGGCTCCTCCTGTTCCTGTTGAAGCATTCATGCCCTCTCTCTTTTGATCTTCCCTTATGACTTCACCTGTCACAGAACAGGAGACAGCCTGGGACTGAGGCACAACGCTTGAGCCCCTTGTGGGGTGGGCAGACCTGTCTGTTACTCTGAGCTGTGTGTCTGTTATCTTGCTTGGTAACGTAAAGACTTGTAAGGATTATTGTTCTAGTTACAAAGGTGAGAAAACAGGGTTTAGAATGGGTAAGTAGCAACAGGGGAGCTGGAATTTTTTACTATTTGTACCAGAAGTAACCAGTCTTTGCTCTTAGAAATTGTCATACTGTGTGGAGTGGAGAAATAACTTAACTTAGCTAATTCTTAGTTTTTGGTGTTGAGGTAATAATGTGTGAAGATACTTTGTAAATTGTCAAAACTGCATTTTCACGCTCATATCTGACAAGTTATTTTGGAGGGCACCTTTGTTTTTTTTTATATGAAAATACTCAGTGTTTTCCCTTCATGAGAAGCAAAAGCCATCCTTCCCATCTTCCTGTCCTCTTAAGCTACTTTAGTTGTTTTCCCTTTTCATGTGGGGTTCTTTTTTTTTTTTTTTGGTTTTTCTCCGGTACCGGGAACCGAACTCACGACCTTGCACTTGCCAGGCAGGTGCTTTGCCACTGAGCTAAATCCCCAGCCCCTCATGTGGGGTTCTTTTACTACCCAAAACAAACACAAATAATCTTCCTTCCACATATCACAAAGGCCTGCATCAGGTCTCTGATACTTTACCTTCAATTTAGTCTTTAACCTTTTGCATTTGAGATTAGGCTTCCTGCTGCCACCTTGATATACCAGCTCCACCTTCTGCAGTATTTTCTTTTTTGCTGTTGCTGCCCCGCCAGAGGTTTGTCACAGTTACACGATGCTGTATTCCCTGTCTCTAGCTTCTTTTCCCTTTTCCTTCATTGTAACCCGAATGTAGTGTTCTCTTACTGCTTCCCTGTGCCTCTCTCCGTGTGCTCACTTTCTGAGTTCGTTTACCTCAGGGAATCTCACGATGAACTTCCATGTACCTCCTTCTGATTTAGCTCTTGCTTTCTCATTTCTGTATGTATGTCTAGCTGTTAGTCTCTGTAAATGTTCCACTGTGAATTCAGTGTGCCTCCAAGTAAGTTTATCATTGTCGTCTTCTGCTGTTCTGATTTTCTCTTTCTGTTGAATGTGTCTGTTACCCTTCTTGTCACTCAGAGGTGGTACTTCTGGTTTCTTCTAATTCCATTCACTTTGAGCCTTACTCGCTTTATTTCTTAGCTTTTATTTATTCATTCATACTATTTTTTTTCTGATGTTCATTGTCTTCCACTTGATTTGATTCAATTTCATTCTTATCTCAAATTTTCAAGAGTTTGTATTCCTTTGTGAGTAGAGTTCAGACTCCTCAACTTGGTATGTGAGTGCTTACATTATCCTGGTCCTACTTTATCTTTCTGTCCGGGCTTGCCATTCTTTTTCTTCCCAAACAGTGAAAACCACTGGAGTTTGCTGTTCCTGTGTTTCCCATGTGTCTTTGCCTCATCTTCCAGTGCCCATTTCTGTGTTCTTCAGGATTCACTCCAAGAATCACCTTCATCAGATTGGTGGTGCTCTTCTGCTGATTAACATAGCTTTAGTTTTCTGTCAAATTTACATCTTCTAGTTTTTATAGAGAGTGATAAGTAGTAATTTTCTGTCTTCTTACTGCTTTGTCTTTATTTTGCCCCTTACTTAGATTGCAAGAAAGTCTGTAGTGAGATCGTGTGTGCTTCATCGTTGCTGTAACTCCTAGCACAGCGCCGCATGCATATCAGATAGCAGCTAATAAAGTGTTGAAGTAGTGTTGGAGGATACATGCTTAAGATAAATCTTAAATTTTCAGTATGTTACTTGGTTGAAATTGAGAAATCTAAATGTTTCTGGATTTTTAAATGTTTTGTCCACGTTCATATTCATACATGAAAATGATAAGCAATAGGAGCTATTAGTGTTAAATTTATATATATGATTTATCATGAAAATCAGGATGGAAGGGAAATGAATTACCTCTTTGGAGAATCTCATTTTTCCAGCATAGTGAGCTATTGGCCCCCTACTAATTTGTATTCTTTTTCCCCTAGTGGGCAAAGTTTGACCCTTTTGTTTGTAAAAGCACAATTAATACATTAAAGTTTCAAGATCATATAGTAAAGGGAGAAATGATATTTGCCTGAATGAAGATTAAAAGTAGTACTTTGAAGTGTAATGTTAGCATCACATAGTATTAAATTATATTGGGCAGTGATAAAAGACGACTAAAGATCAACAGTGAGTGTTGATAGAAGAGAGAGTAGCAGTGTAAGTGTTTGCCTCGTAAGTATATTTTTCAGAAATTGAAGTTTGTAAGGAATATTACTGACTTTGCATGCGGGGTTATTCTGCTTACTCTTTTTTTTTTTTTTTTGTGGGCAGGGTTTTGATAGAGGGTGTTGCTGTGTATTGCAGGCTGGCCTTGAATATGCTTATGTTTCTCAGGCTGGCCTTAAACTCATGGAGATGATCCTGTTTCAGCTTTTGGAGTTCTGGGATTATAGGTGTGTGCCACCATGCCTGGCTCTTTCTACTCTTCACTCTTCCCCATGTTAGCTTTTTTTCTTACTCAGGAGGCTGTAGGAGGAGGAGGACTGAGAGTTTGCAGCAAGCCTGAGCCAAATACCAAGAGCCTGTCTCAAAAAAACGAAAAACAAAAAACAAAATTTATATTATCAGCTAATGTATCTTTGGAAAAAAGACAGTAATAGTATATTAGTTGGGTGGTTTAAAGGTATTTTATCTGAGTGGAGGTTGAAAACTGAGGCTTGTTCCAAACTAGTGCTGCTAAAATATTTAGCTCATGATCATATTAAAAGAATATCAGAAAAGATCCTGAAATTAATAAGCTTTTCATGGGTGTTGAGAATTCCTGAGGAGGTTGTGAGCGTATCAGAATCATGCTTTCTGACCGTGGCAGGGCTCTCCTGATTTAGTAATGGATGCTTTGTGAGGTGTCTCCTGGATGTGCATTGTTGAGGGGAGAGGCAGTGCAAGGCCTGCACATGTGCACACGCAGTGAAAGGTTGAGGGCCGTTATGGTTATGGAGTTCTTGCACTGGTAAGAAACTCAGTGTAGAAGCTGGGCTTTGGTGACCCAGACCAGTGATGGCAAACTTTTTAGAGACCACGTGCCCAAACTGCAATGCAAGACCCGCTTATTTATTGCAAAATGCCAACACTGTAATTGAACCTGAATACTGAGGTGTTAGTTTAGAAAAACAACTTATCTGATGCTTAGCTGCCGGGCAACTTGGCTCGTATGCCAGCAGAGAGGGCATGCGTGCCATAGGTTTGCCACCACTGATCTAGACCTTCTTACTACAAACCCTGTGTCAGGTGCTCGTGTGGAAACATGGCATGCTGTTTAATGACTTTAGCTGCAATTCTTTCATTTGTAATATGTGAAAATTAAATAGTTCTCTGTTGTTACTGTGAAATTGCCTTTTTAAAAAAGTTCCTTCATTTGTACATTTCTAGTAAGTCAATTATGCCTTCTTGTATGCGTAGAAATACATTCATCACACTAGCTAAATCTAGATATATGCCAAGGCTTTAAAGATAATTTAATTTAGTACCTACGGTTTACAGATGATAAATTTGAACCAGGTGAAGTTATATGATTGAATATTGTCATATAGATTAGTGAAGAGCATAAAGCTACACTGATCCTTTATTCCCTTTGCAATTCTGGCGGCCCCTTCTGATTAATTGAATGCATGTACCTTTCTTAATTTGGTTTCCAGGGTTCTCTTGTTCTTTGCAGGATTATTTTCTTAACAGTCCTTGTTTCCAAAGCTCACATTTCTTGTGAACATTGTTCTGGCTGAAAGAACTGCATTGCTTTTTTTCTTGTTACCTGCCATTAGGACCTTAGGTTGGGACGTCTTCCTGCTGTTGAGCCTTTATTCAGTGGTTGTATCACGCCATTGGAAATTAGATTTTCGATCTGGAAATCAAGATCTGCAGACTTAAAAGTATGATCAAATGTTAATGACATAGGCTATGATGAAGAAACTGTACTACAGAGATTTCTTCTGTTGCTCAATAGATGTTTTTATATTTTAGGCAGAAATAGAGAAGCTAAAAAAAGCTGTCTTATCTTCTTGAGGTGCCGTGGACCCAGTGCGTTAATGTTCCCAAGGATTCAGAAGCAACACTATGATCTCAACTGACTTGGACTTTAATATATCAACTGCTGGTGTTGTGATAAAGAAATTTGAATATATGAACTGTAATATCTATTGAAAAGTTAGGGGGAGGGTAAAATTTTTATATATATATTTTGTTTTGCCAATATGAAATGAAAAGAGGCCTTATTTCGTACTGTGCTGGGATTGCAAACATTTTTGTTTGTTTGCTTGAAAATACTACTGAGTCTGTATAAAAAGGAAAGAAAATTCATAATAGTTTTTTATTGAAACTTTAGTATTATTTTTAAAGAGATCTATACTATAAATATGGTGATATCTTTCCAAATAATCTGTAAGATAAACTATTTGAGAGGGATAAATTCGCTTTATAGTAACTATAGTCACTACTTTCCCCCTAATACATAAGGGATATAAACTGTGTGTGTACATATATACATATATATATATATATATATATTTTTACTTTAAGCTTTTCATCCAGGATGACACTGTTGTGCCCATTTGTCTGCAGTGCTGTTTATATTTTGGGTGATGAAATCAAGAGTTTCCTAGTTAGAAACCAGATTACTCACCTAAGCGTACAGTAATAACTAGTGAAATCATAAAAAGAATTTCAACTTTTAGAGTGTTTTCTATTGCTTGCACTATAGGATTCATAAAAGGAATTTGACTAAAATGTATTGGATTGTTAAACATATTTGGGAAAATATGAACTTTATTTTAAATTCATTAGATCTAAGAAATCTAAAAATACCCATTTAATTGTTTACTTGTGCCTAGCAACTACAGCACATACGGAATACGCAAACACCAGCCTTACTGCTATACGTTTCTGCTTATCTTACAGTCTCACGTAGTACTCATTCACTGTCTGGTGTTGTAGGTCATCGTGCTCCTGCCTGTTGTTTTTCCTGGCTTTTCATATTGGCAATATTAGGAAAACAAGCCCCACGCTCAAAACCTCAGGATGAGGTTTCATGCTGGGTGGTGGTCACCATGTGAATACTCAGGTTTTACAGTGTGTAATTGATCTGGTATCCCAAGGTCACTCTTGGAGAGATTTTGGACTGTTATTTAGGTAAGAAATGTAGAAAAAGGGTTATATATCATTAAAGCTTATTTAAACCAAATAGAGTTGACCATATTAAAAAGACATCTTCACAAGTGTATTTAATGAATTTCCAATTCTTTCAAGTCACTTGTTCACATACTAAACATACTAAAACTTGAACATACTAAAGTTGAACATACTAAAATACATCTGTGAGTGCTGTGTCTAAAAACTTGGGTTTATTACAGATTCAAAAATTTGAAATTGCGTTGTTCACAAAATAGTTAGTTTCTAAGTGGTACTATAGCCGGAGCGTCAGCTTTTCAGGACTAGGTACCGTGCTTCCCTTCTTTGTTTTCAGCTGCCACACCAATATTTCTGCTTTCTATTTCAATCTCAAAATACAAAAATTCTGTATAAATCTTTTGTCGTGTTTCAAGTAAAAGAGAATTAGTAGAAAATAATGGAAATGCCCAATCCCAGTTACTTACTGCATAATTCACAACTTTTGTGCTTGGGGTCAAAGCTAATTGTGTGTTAAATATGTACATTTCAACTATAGTTTGGGGCTGCCTCTAATGAGATCACAACTGAAGAACATTATTCTTTCCTGTTTCATTGTTAAATGATCAGTTGAATGATTTCCATCTTGTTAAAGAAATTGTCTTCTTTCAATGACAGTTCTTAGGAAGAAATAAAAAGACTTCTTCTTAGAAATTATCCTCCATCTCTCTTACTGGAGAGTCTGTAGGTTAGCCCTCCCCACCGGGAAGGTGCCAGCAGACTTTTGGCTTTCCTTAAGTGTTTTTGGTCATTGTTCACTAGCACTGCCTGAAACCGGGATGGTAGTGAGTACTGAAACACACGCCTTTGCTTTCCTGTTCTTCAGTCAGAATAGATGACTCACTGAAGTTCTGTGTCTGAAAATGTAAAGCAAGACAAGCACACTCAAATTTAGAGGGAAAAACTCTTCTAATGGAGCAGCTTATGAGTATTTGCTCTTGATCTGAGACCTTGTGTTACTGTTCTTAAAGTTCACACCACACAACGATCACTGCAGCCTTTTCTGGGGTAGATCATTAGTTTTGTCCTACCATGAGAGAATAAATAACAGAGTAAAAGGGACCAGCATGGAATCTGTCATTGCCAAATTATTGTAGAGTTCAGGTTTGCTGTTCTTTGAAACACATAATATTACTAATTTCCTAATTGTACTTCAGTTTTTGGTTTTTCTGTTTTGAGTATATTTATGACCACTAGTCTTCTGTTTTCTTACAAAGCTGTTACCTCCACAGAATTCTACAGAACTTTGAAGTCTGAAGATGCACAGAGAGAATGGGCCTTATGTAACAGATTTCTCTTTTTATCTCTTATTGTGATCACAGGAAAAAGTCCAAATGCTTTGTAGATTTTTTTTTTGAGAAACATTTTATGCTTACATTTAAACTTGAAATGTATGAGCAGAATGAGACAATCAGTAAAAATCAGAAATGAGAAGTGTTATAATTTAATGGCCTTGTTTTGCTGTGGCAATAAAATGACCAAGTGCAATGACTCAATAAAATCATCTTGTAAAAGTTGCTGCTATGAATATTTTTAGCTATAAAATTTTATCCTTGTTTTAAACTGACTTGCCTTCAATAACTCTTATGTAATGCAGTTGATGTTGTGGTTACATTCCAAAAAACCCCATACATATATATATGGATATATATCTATAGATATATCTATAGATATATATGTGTGTATATATATATATGGACTCTCGAGATAGTATACTCACTGACTTATTTACAGGTGCTGTAAAGAAACAAAAACAAAAAGCAGCATGTTCTCACTCAGAAAAATGAATAAAAAATTGTATTGCCAATTGTGTCTTTATTGGTTATTCTTCATAAACTTCAGCATATGCTTAGAGTATGAAAATTATATTACTTCGAATTTTCCAAATAAAAGAAGCAAATTGTAAAATAACAGCTTTAAGAGTTCTAGGCCTGTGTGACTTTTATTAAACCGCATAAAAGGAAACATGCTCATAGATATATTATTTCTGAGTGTGTCATTTCAGGTAAAACCCTAACCCTCAGCCTTACTGGATGATGGGAAGAGTTCAGTGGTTTATGTGCAGTACCCTGTAGAATGCTTGCGTGGAAGTGATTAAAAAACAAACCTGAGAGTTGCTGTTTTATTGTTTTCAAGAGCTTTTTACAGTGTTGGATAGCGTGCAAGTTAGAGAAGATGAAGAGAAAGGAAGCCTCTTAAATACAGCATCTCAGGGCCGGGGATGTAGCTCAGTGGCACAGTGCCTGCCTGGAAAGCACAAGGTTATGAGTTTGATTCCGGGTACAAAAAAAAGAAAACAAAAACAAGCTTCTCTCTGGTCCTGTTGCTCAAGGGTTGCTGCCTCCTTTGCTGTACTTGGCTGAAACAGTTACAAGTTTACCAGAGATGAGGTTTTCAACACTGGAAACAAAAGGACCAGTGTCAGTGTGAGGACTCTCTACAGTTGTATTCTTGTCTTCTGCAAAAAGTTGATTTGAAAGGAGAATTGAGTAGATCAGAAGGAGATTGAAATGGAATCCAGAAAGCTTCTAAACCCGCCCACAGCCCTCCTTGAACCCCAGTTAGCCACTGCTCCGAACATCAGGCATGGTCATAAGCTTGCTGGGTTTCTGAACCCGCTACTGAAATCATCCTAGCAAGTAGAGCAAAGGTGGACGGCCAGGGCAGCAGGAGTGTGGCAGAGTGCTTGCCTGGGTGTGCGGGGCCAATTCCTCCCGCAGCGCACATGGGTGGCTGCAGACTCGCTGGAGATAGGCTGTGTCTGGGCCCCGGGCTTTCTGAAAAGTGCTGCAAGATTAGGAGTTGGAACACAGAAATAGGACAAGCAGGAGGAAGCTGTATAATTGTCAAGACACCAGTGTATAAACACGAGGCAGAAGCGAAGTCTGGCAGACCCATGTGTCAGCTTCTGACCTATGCACTTGTGTTGGGGCCTACAAATCCTCTAACCCAGTCCTTGTGCACGTAGTTGTGTGTGGAGATGCGGGTTTCAGGTGTAGTGCCGTCCTAAGAAATAACAGCAGATGGCATTTGTGGATCTGTTAGAATGATCATTTTCTAATAGAGATTCAAGAGAGAGAGGGTCCGGGTGTCCGGGTGTTGAAATATTTTTCTGAATCTTTTTTTGTTTTGTTTGGTCTTTTTGAGGCAGGGTCTTGCTCTGGAGTTCAAGCTGGCTTTGAACTCCTTTTGTAGTCCAAGCTGGCCTGAAGCTCACAGTGATCCTCCTGCCTCAGCCTGCCAAGTGCTGGGATTACAGGTGTGTGCCACCATACCCGGCTCTGGATCTTTTCTTTTTTCTTTGTGGTACTGGGGATTGAACTCGGGGCCTTGTGCATGCTAGGCAAGCATTCATCCACTGAGCTACATCCCCAGCCCCCCAGCTCAGAATCTCAAATCATCGTTTTTATTTTAGTGTTAACTTCCTTACTGTGAATCTGTTTACTTCCTATATGGCAAGTAAAGTTAGAAATAGGTATCGGGATTTTTGTATAGAGCCAATAGATTTTTTTGTTACTCAAATACATGTGGTTATTTTGCAATTGTTGCATGGCATTCTTATCTGTTAGAGCCCAAAGCCTTATTAATTTTCAGTTCCTTTAAAAGTGTGTTTGTAGACCTATTAGAAAATATTTTAAATGCGTTAACACATTCTTAACTAGAGGAAGTCATCTGGTAACATTGCATGGTGTAGTGCATTTTTAGAAATAGACCTAAACACTAATTGATCGGAATGCCAAATCCAAGTTGATAGTAATGACTTTTATTGGAGCAGAAAATGCCCCTCCCACCAATAAACCTCAATTTTCCTGGTAACAATTCCTATTACAGTTCCTGTTACAGTTCTTGTTTTTTAGAAACAGCTGGTCATATTGTGAGAACCAGCCAAAGACAACCAGGTACTCTGCTTCTTGCTTGCAACCCCATAAAAACCTTCCTCCCTGAGCCTTTGGAGCTTGACATTTTTATAAGGATCGATTCCTTGACAGTACCCGTTGACATAAAATAACTGTGCCCCTACGAATCCTGGGTGACATTTTTGGTGTTTCTATTTGCTGTTGCATTATCATTT